AACGAGTCGAGAAAAATCAGCCCAAAAAGAAAATGGGAATGGTTGAGGGCCATGGTAAATGAAAATGGGAGTGAGAAATGCTGCCCCACGTAACTGAAAACTTCACAGTCAAAGCGGCGCTGGCTCGGACATTGCTCATTTCGTCGTTTCGTAATTAATTAGTCTTAAAAGTTAAATAGCCCAAATGATTTTGGACAGGCTACAAAGGCGCTGGCTAATAGAAAACGTTGCCAAGAATGTGCCGGGAAAGCGAAAAGGCAGGGAAGATCCAGCTGAGAATTTTCAGTCCAGTTCGGTTCGGTTCGGTTCAGCAAATGAAGATAAGATACGTCTTTGACAGGAGCGCGACAGAAAAGGGGATGGGGCGATGGTGATGCCAGGGCAGTGCATATTTGTGGAAATTTAGTTTTATACACATAGAAAAAAACTTAAATAAACTTTTAGAATGAAAATAAATTGAATTTTGAAGTGATTTTTAAAACTAATAAGGAAAGTCTGGTGTAAGATAAATCTTGAATACCTAATATTACATTTTTGTTGCATATGATACCATAAATATTTGTATCTTTAGATGTAATTGACAAATTAAAGATACCCTTTTTATTTGTTTAATAAAAAAATGTATATATCAATTTTTATGATTCCCTTTTAAGAATGTTGCTTATAGTTTTATAAATGTTGGAATGATATTTACTAATGTGTTTTTTATTTTTTAATTTTAGAAATCCATAAATGACTACATTTTTGTTAGATAAATTATTGAAGATTGTTTCCGTATTTTCAAATAATACCATATAGAATGCAATATTTTTTCCAGTGCACTCCTGGTCTGTGGCAATGCGAAAGCCAGTTGGATGCTGTCAGTTTGTGTACGCATTGAATTGCAGGAAGAATTTATCTAACGCCGGCAGCGAATGTGGGGAGTGAGCTGGAAGGTTGGAAGGTTGGTAGGTTGGTGAGCTGCAGAGTGTGTGTTCGAGTATCTGGCGGATACGTGTGAATGCTGCAGCTCCTCCCAGCCCTGCCATATTGATTGAGACAGAATTTATTGGCCAAGTTAGTGCCCTGGCCTCGGCTCTGGACCATATGTACGTATGTTTGTGCCTGTGTGCTGGCTGGCGCTTGTGTTGTGACTTTTTGACATTAAAAATTTGTGCGTTGTTGTTGACTCGGCATGTACATAAAGTGCTGGCTTAAAGCAAATGCATATACCTCCGCATGTGGACTATAACGATTTTGTATTTGTACATTCAAGTGCTGGCTTGGCTCGTTAGCAGAGCTCCTGAACTCCTACCACTACCACCACTACCGCTTTTGATATATTTAAATATTTTGTTGCAACGTTCTGGGGCGGCCACACAAATTGGCAAAAATCAACTCACAAAATGCCACCACCCTCAATGGCATATCAATTTCATTTGGCTTTTCATACCCGATATTTTATATATACATATATATATTTACCAATTTATTTTATACTTTTGCCAACTGCGGCTACTGTGGGAATTGCCATCCGCTTTAAGTGCATCTCAGAATATTGAAAGGTGGCCACACAGAATTTAAATAAAACTAATAACCACAAAAAAGTTTTCGCCATTGCACAGAGCTACTTGGCAAACCGAATTAAAATCAAAGTGTGGACACCCCCTTTGCTGACCCCAAGGCTAAATTAATAGCCAACTAAGAACCGAAAATAGCACAAAGTTAAAGTTCAGGCAAGAATCTTTATGGCTGGCTGACCGACGAATGATTATGCAACCGATGGCCAATACACTCGGATTGGCAACACTCGAACTCAACTGGGCCAAGTGCTGGGGAAAGTGGCAGGGGCATTGGCATGGGCATCAGCAGTTCTTGACCGCCACATGCAAATTGCAACTGATTCCAGATTCAAGTGCTTGGCCAGCAAAAGAAGAGATGCACATAAAAAAAATATAGAAAAAAATCACAGGCGTTTTAAAATCACTTAAATATATGTCTAAAAGTATGCAACAAAATACATCCCCTTTTCACTGCATACTCTTAAGCACCTTTAGAATAATTTATAATTTATACCTGAGAGTTTTCTGAGACACACGAAAATATTAAAACAACACTGTATCATATTAAATGGAAAATATTCTTCAAAGTTAACCTCTTGATAAATGGTTGCTTTTTCGTGTGTATGAAAAAATATCTAGCAAGAGCGTTACCCTGAGATCCGGAGCCTATTTCTCCTTATTTCCGACTCCTGGAGCCCCGACAAGCTGTTGCTGGACTGCATAATTTATGGCCCAGTCTAGACCAAAGTGACAGGCAACGCAACCGCCCTATGCCGATCCCCAATTGTTCCGAACCCAACACACATTTTTGTTGATGATGAGAATTTTCGGCATTTCATATTTTCTCTGGCTCTCTACCACATAAATTTACTAGCTGAATAATATTTTCGTTGGGGCCAGCGTGTTCGTAAATATTTGCCCAAGACAAATTGCAGTAAACAATTTGCAACAATTTCATGCGGTTGCGGGCAAAAGTCCTTTGGGCCACCCAGAGCAGCAATTACAGCTCATAAGTTGAAGATTTTCTTGGCCCAAAACACATACACACTTGACCCGGGCCAGGGCAGATGCAAAGTTTATGATAAAATTATCAACTTAATTGCCGGCCAGGGAGTTCCCCTAATTGGGCGCCATATGAAAATACTCTAATGCGGTGCTGCAACATCGGCCAATAGCCCGAATCCGAGCCCCAATGTTAGCAAACTTTTGAACTGGTTTCTGCCTTTGCCATGCCGGCCATGCCAGCGAAAGCAAAAGTTGTTGTCTGCCATTGCATATTTGCATCTGACGTCTCCTGGCCAAATGCTTTCAAATTGGGTTAACGACACTTTGGCCAAGGCGAAGAAACAAAAAATGTGCAACTAAAAACAGCACTTTCCACGCTGCAAGTGTCGCCGACGCATAGAAAGTGAAACTGAACTGCAACAAAGTTGTTATACATCCAAACAAAAAACGAAACAAAAACAAATCCAAAAAAAAAACACACAACAATTACACGGCTTGATTTGGTTTCGTTTCGTTTGGCTCGATTTTGGCCCGGCCAAAAGTGAAGAAAGTGAAGCCAAAGTGGGTCTGCTAATGGCAGGTGCCGCACCATCAGGAGATCTCGGGGATTCGGTTTCGGACTGGGAGGAGTGGCAGAGATTCATGTCAATTAGAGCTGGAAACGTGGCCATCATGTGGCATCTTACGTATGCGAGAGTAAAGATCGTTAGACCGATGTCTATGGTATCTTTGGGGGGATTATGTAAACGATGGCCAACTATCTGTAGACACGAAACCCGGACTGTTGAGTGCGGGCGAAGAGTCTCGATTATCCCATAAAATAATTATGGTTGCGTTACATTTAACTATCAGTTGTAGGCCTTTTTTTTATATGGTTTTTTTAATGAAAACATAGTATGGGTCTTTCCTAATCCAGACTTAACCATTTTGCCATGTTTTTAGTTTTGCTAAATTAATTGAATGCATTTTTTCATCCATACCTAGCATTTCTCATGAACTAAGAGCCACTTGAATATAGCTAGGAATCCTTCACTTTTTTCATCCTCCTTGACTAGAAATGCACTTCAATACCTTGGTTCCCCACTCCCCGAGGGAAAACCCAAGCAAATACTCGACTCTTGGCCTCCGTTAGTCAATTTCCCTACCAGTTTCCTTTCGAGCATGCACTTGGTTCATATGTCACATGTTTTCCGTAATTCCAGGCATTAGCAATTACCATTTTGCCCTCAGCCTTTTGGCTTTCTACTAAAAGGGGGTTTCATTAAGTTTCTCCATTTTGTCTCTATTTCTGCGTAAATTAAGAGACTTTACTTTCAGCTCATGAGATGCACAAAAGTAGCAAAAATTCCGCATAATTAGCCGGCAAACTCAGGAGCTAAACGGCAGAGAAATGCAAAATGAGAAAGATGGATACGAAACGGTAAAATAGACACAGAACGAAGACGATGATTGCATAATTCTAAGATGCGCCACGCTAATGGGAGATCCAGAGTGCAACTCCGCAGAGATACTCCACACACGGAGGCACACAAATCAGTGGGAAGTGAAATCAAATGAGCCCCAGCCGCAAATGCAACTTATAAGGTGAGTCGCCTCCAAAGTCAAGGAACCCATAAGCGGTGACAATTTGCAGGGCCAAGGGACGGGAAAAAGGGCTCAAATGCCAGCGACATGCTAATTATGCTTTATTTATGTGATATGCACAAAACACCGAGCCCGGAACTGTGTCTCCTCGAGTATGAGTCTTTACACGGAGGGAAAAGTATAGATTTTGTAGAATGTTACCATATAAAATTAGTTGGTCACTGGATCAAAAAGTGGTAAAATATTTATAAGCATGTTTATGAGAAAAATTTTATTTAGATATAATATAATTGAAAACGTATATAGAAATCTATAAATTGTGTGTTTTAAAAGCCAATTATTTTTCAACATTAGTGGTCAATTCTTCGATCGACCAAAATTCCGACATCCCAAAACTCACACGGATATCGTGTATTTGGGCTTGAAAACGATCTCATTTCTTTAGTTTATCTATATCAAAAGATGCCATTTAATGGAACTGTCCAGATCTCGATTATACACTTATTTCCAATTGTTCGCTAGCATTGTATTCGACATTGCAATCGCGAGAAATCTCCAAAAATAACAAGAAAGTACAGAAGAACTTGATCAAATACAATCAAAGCATAGGCTAGCTGTATTCTAAATGTTTATATATTTTTCCAAGAAATTATTAATTTATATTTTTTCGCCGAAATTGCCTTATCTATCCGATTCATTTTTTAAGGTCATTGTCCGATCCCACAAATACAATTATAGAATTATGCGTAACTATCACAACAGCTTCTTAATCATCACGAAGTCGACTGTGACGTCGGCAGGGCAGCCTGCCTAGTATATAAGCTAGCATCCACATTATAAACATTCTATTCCCATATAAGATCTCGCCGACAAAAGTTCTCTTTGAATTCATTCATTTCTTTCAACATGAAGTTGATTGTTCTTTTCGTGGGTCTATGTGTCTCTGTTGGGGTGTTGTGCAGCCTGCCCGATCAGGTCGAAGTTGGGTTACCAGTTTCAAGTCTTAGGGGTAAGTAAAAAAAACAGTTTATACTAAACTGGTTTGGCATTTCAAGACTATATAAATATAACATATATATATATTTCTAATCACTATATAGGCGATATGTTAGCGCCGAGTTATAAACGAACAGCAATTCGACATAAGAGAGTACTTCCTTTTATTTTCGGTGGTTTAATAGCAATAGCTATAGGGGCTATTGCTGTCGAAAATGCAATGATAGACAATATTAGCGATAAACCCGGAATACCGCCATCTCAACGAAGTGTTCGTGAATCGCTTGCGAGGGTAAATGGACTGATGAATAGTTTTTATGAGAAATTCGACGATAAAAATAAATTGTGCAGCCCCAAAGTGAATCGCCATAAAAGACAGCTAAGACCCAGTAATTTCAATTGCCCCCTACCCGAATTAACCGCCGCCGGGCGAAACTATTTTAATAGGATAGAAGAATTAGCTGCCGAACTACGCGGTAGGCCAGAAGCCGTAACCACTGACGTGTCGAATGATAATAGACACGCAGTTCTTGACTATACTACGATAAGAGCTCCAGCAAACCAAAATCACCCACAACCCATTGACTTGACCGTCACGATCCGAGCTAATCTGACGTATGATAACACGGCACAAAATCTACGAGCATCATCTATACATCCAGCGATTACAGAGCGTATGCAAGAAATGGATTGGTATCACGGAGGTGATCGAAATACCAATGATGAACGCGGTCATCTTTTGGCGGACTCTCTAGGAGGGCCTAGTCTACCATGGAATTTCGTTCCACAAAGTCCATCAGTAAATCGTGCGGCTTCAATTAGAGGTACATTACATGTAACTTATGTATTTAGACTTTTAGAACAGGACATTACTGATTAGAGGGTGTTATTATTACAGGTAGCTTACAAGATACTTTTTGTTGGTTTGACCTCGAAGAGGAGACCCGAGCACTTCTGCGAGAAAATCAAAACCATTACGTCATTTGGACGATCTTAGTTGGTTATGGAGGGTTACCAACTTCGCGCCGCCCAACGGGCTTTATGATTTCGGTACGATTGATGACTTCCGACCATCAGTTCAGGAGCTATCGCATGTTTCTGATTCCGAACGTACCTTCGGATGCCTGCACTAATCGCAACCACCCATACTGGCATTTGCAATAAAATCAAAATGGAATAAAATATACTCTTAATATGAACATTATACATTGTTTGTTTGATTATACATATGCTATGCAATTTTTTCTTTCACCGTAAGATTTGAATAATTATTCATCTATGATATATTGAAGCAGAATATTTGAAATATAAATAACTTGATGATAAAGAAGTACAATATTCAAAAATATTTATTAAGCCCTAAGTCCTGACTTTTAAAAACTTTACTTTCTTAAAGACCCTGTAGTATTACCACACATATAATATATACTATAACTCAAAGTATTTTCGACTTGAAGTTTTTGCTTGGCAGATGGTGGTATAAAAGTTGGCCTATACTTTTTTAAACTCTTTTTTCTGCAGTGCATGTGTGCCGAAGTGCATTGGAGTGCATAAAGTAGCACATTTGGCTCAGTGGCAAACTTTTGCCTGACATTTGCCGTTGCCAACGAGAACAGAACAGAACGTTCTCGACTTTGACAAGAACGCGGCCCATCAGGGGCCATTATCATGCGCCTCATCAGCGCCATCGCAGCGCCGTCTAACGCCAAAGTCATTAAACTCGCACCGCAGCTTCAAGACCGAAAGAGTAAAAGACTGAGGAGTCCAACTCCACTCGTGGCCCAAACCAAAGCAAACCAAAAGCTCCGGCTAACGACTAATTTGCGCATATGACAGGGCGACATGCGAGTCGTTTTCGTTCCATGGGCCCAGTCTTTCTGCCGTTTTGCCATTTTGCAGGCCCTCGGTTAAAGACCGGCCTGCAATGTCAACGATTGGCAGCTCTCGTTCGACTGACTGGCTGGGATCGCAATGTGCGTTGGTTTCCCATCCGCCAGCAGCCATCAGCCATCAGCCATCCTCTCCAGTTTTCCCATCTCGCCTCTTGGCCGGGATTGACTTTAAGCGCCCATAAACGCCGGCCCAGGCCCATGACACCTTTATGGGCTTTAGATGATAAGAAATGTGCAGACAAAAAAACCCGGGGAAAAGTTAAAAACCATTGCACTTTAAAGCGGTCCAAAAAATGCTGGTCCCCGCGGCGTATGAGCAACAAACGAGGCGTTGGGCCAAACAAATCGTTCAATTTGTTGAGAGTTTACTTTTCTTTCTTTTACTTTTTTTTTTGTGCTCCTAATTTATGCACTCCCCCACCAGCGGTTATTCACTTTTGACTAACTAAATAATATGGCACGCAATGGGGAAAATGTTAAATCATCCAGTGCAATCGAGGGAAAAGGGAAAGGCTGTTGGGAAAGGCAGGTGGAGGAAAAACAGGTGGAGACCTGCGCTAATTGCTGAGCAATCACGTGTCAGGTTGCATATTGTGGGGGCGGGGCAAATGCCAAAAGGTTATTGCGACAGGTGAAACTTATGAGTCAAAGGCAGTCAAAGGATGGCCAGGCGTCAAAAACAAAGGGGCTGTTGAAAGCTCTACATAAATAACAGCTTAAAGTCGTTTTTTAAATAGTGTTAATTTATGAATTGCCAGTTATAAGCGGTTTAAAATATTAGAACAAAAACATACATTGATATAATATAAATTTGTATTAGCACACCAAATGTATATAAGTACGGCCATAAATATTTAGATTTATCTAACAAAGCCATGGTGGAAAATAAATTTATATTGGCAAATAGCTAAAATTAAATGGAGTTTCTAAAAGTTCGTTGATATTTATTATTGATATAGGTTTAGCCGAGTTTTAAAATTAAAGAATATAAATAGCTTTACGTATGAACAGGTATTTTAATATTTCTGTGTTTAATAAATTCCTGGTTATTGCTTTTCAGAAAATACTTCTTTGGATTCAATCCTTTAAAAAAGTTTAAGTGTCTATTAAATAGTTATACACCTCTTCACAGAAGATAATAAGATATTAATTATCTCATCATAATAAGTATACCACTCAACTACTTATTTAGTTTATGTGACCATTTATCAATCGAGTGTCATTAACACCTTAAAGTTCTCCCCTGCACGGATGCAGATTCCACTTGACTCCCAATCTCCAGTTGGCCCAAACGACAGGGCCTAAGCACGGGGCTTCACAATGGCATTAGGTGGCACATGCGGCGGAAAAGCGGGTTGGGAAATGGATGGATGCACCTTCGGGGCAGCACTCTAATTAAACACGACAGTGAAAATGTGCTCGCGCTGCCATTGACACGTGTGCCCAATAGCAACAACAATAGTGTCCGAGGCCCAAACGGCAGCAACACCAACAATGGGAAGACCAACAATGGCCCATGTCCAGGCGGATGCAGTGCAGCCGATAGGCCGTTAACTCGTACAACTACACTGAGAAAAAATATAAAGCCTTTGTCTTTTAAATTTCCTAGTATTACTTTTAAGTTAGAAATATGTGAATTGAAAGTCTTAGAAAGATTTAGAGATGGAAATAAGCCATCTGGTAATATTTTTAATACAAAAGATTTATTGGAAGACGTATAAAAAAACCAGTAACTTTAAAATTTTATGAAATATTTTCTTTTTTATTTAAGGAAATACCACAAATATAATTAAATTTTACACAACTTTTAAAACACATAAAAAATGTTATTACGTTCAATTTTTCAAAACACCTTATAAATGTTATTACGTCAATTTTTCCCCTTTTGAAGTGTACTAAATTTTGTAAGATCGCTGTAAAAATATTTTTTAAATACTTGTTTTACTATTTTTATTTATTTTTATATTTTTTACTATTATTTTGAACCAATACAATCTGAAACCAAGTAAGTTATATAATATTTTTGGTCTAACAATTAACTTTACATTGGTAATATCCTGCGATGTGTGTATAACTTTTTCCCTGTGTAAATATGTGAGCAGGAGCGGCCGGCTTCTCGTGATTTTCCGTTTGCCAACAGTTGAAATATGTGAATTGAAAGTCTTAGAAAGATTTAGAGATGGAAATAAGCCATCTGGTAATATTTTTAATACAAAAGATTTATTGGAAGACGTATAAAAAAACCAGTAACTTTAAAATTTTATGAAATATTTTCTTTTTTATTTAAGGAAATACCACAAATATAATTAAATTTTACACAACTTTTAAAACACATAAAAAATGTTATTACGTTCAATTTTTCAAAACACCTTATAAATGTTATTACGTCAATTTTTCCCCTTTTGAAGTGTACTAAATTTTGTAAGATCGCTGTAAAAATATTTTTTAAATACTTGTTTTACTATTTTTATTTATTTTTATATTTTTTACTATTATTTTGAACCAATACAATCTGAAACCAAGTAAGTTATATAATATTTTTGGTCTAACAATTAACTTTACATTGGTAATATCCTGCGATGTGTGTATAACTTTTTCCCTGTGTAAATATGTGAGCAGGAGCGGCCGGCTTCTCGTGATTTTCCGTTTGCCAACAGTTGCCATGACCCTGCGACCCTCCTTTTTTCCCCCTTACCCACCCCATTACCAACACATTCACAGAGATTCACGCACGTGATTTATGTGCGTGGGTGCGCATTTTAACGCGGCGACATTGCCAAGGATCCCGCCCCCCTCCCCCGATTTTACTCCTTTTCACGGCCCAAACAAGCTGATGGCAACTTTATTGAAAATCGCATATTTTATGTGGCCATGGACGCTGGGCACCAGACTTTCCCGGCCGGGCAATTCAATCAGGATATAATTTTATGCGTAACTTAAACACGCAGGATATGTTAATATTGTGGCGCCCAAACACACACGCACACAAACAAATAAGATATGGGGCAAAGGAAAAATCGCTGCACTTTACGCTCGAAATAACAAAATACTATAAGTGTAAATAACCCGGTGAGCGTGTGTTTGTTTGCGTGATTAATTAATTGTGTTTAAAGGATAATTGCCTCTAGCTTTCATTTGATTAAATTTCAGCCGGTGTGCGTGGGTGTGTGTTTGTGCGACGGGGAAAGGTCAGGTGAGGGAAACAGTGACCGAGGCAGCGGAATAATAAACCTCAGGTCAACGCTCAGGCAGCTGGCTTCCTGGACAGATTACGCACAGATCAACCCGCACAATACTTCGCATTAAATTTAAACGCAGTTCGAAGGGTCGCAATTATTTAAGCCCTCAAAAGTAGGCAGCAAATTATGAAAAATCCATGTCCTTTGGGGAAAGAAAATTATGTGACTTACCGGCAAAGTATGACTCAATCAACTGCCTTATTAAAACGGAATAAGCAATTTTAAAATCTATAAAAGTCTTTAAAAATGTTAAATAATTTTTCGAACTAGCCTATGATATTTAATAAAGGATATTGTTCAATAAAGATATTTTCCTCATTAGGTGATATTCCTAGAGATTTATAAAGCCTACAAATATTATAATTTTTTGGTATTATAGAATATACATGAATGACTAATTAACATTGGCATAAAACAAATATGTAGCACATTTATAAAATTTTATTGAATGATGGTTCTAAAAACTTGAATTAACTCCCATCTAATACAATTAAATTTTGACCATAAAATATATGTATTGGGAAACTTTTTAACTTGTAAGACCTAAAAATATAAATAAATAAAGTTAGAGTCTAAAAATCTTTTATAAATACCTCTGCATAGTTTTATTTAATTATAATACAAATAAGATTTCAAGTTTCCAATTTTGTTCTTAAAGCTATATATGAATTTAAATGTTATCAAATAAAGCTCTCTTCCAATACAATCCCAAAAACTGAGAGCATTGAAGCATCGATTGAACAATTCACTTTAGAATCCGCAATCAATTAGCCCGCTTTTTGTGAATCGTATTCCAAATGGCTGGCTTTTAACAACATTTGAGTAATTGATTAATTGAATTCAGTGTTCGTCAATTATTGCCACAATTAAAGTAAAACTTTTTCCCCCACTCGCCAAATTTTTTCTTTCATCTTTTTTGCGACTTTTTGAATATTATTAATTTGCTGTGTGGAACTTTATGGCCGGGCTAAATCGCAAATTAAATTTGCTATTTCTGTTACGTGACTCGTGACTGGTGAACGGTGACGGATGACGGGTGGCATGATGC